CATCCCATGTCACTCGGTGACGCCCACAGTGTGTTCCTAGTCAAAACCGGGCAAATTATTATACTGAAAGGAAAAAAAGAAACGCATAAAAAAAAATTTTGAATTAAATTAAAACTTATTTTGAACATTTTTTTCAAGTATTGTTATCATACATTTTAATTCATCTTTCATCAACAAGATACCAAAATCTTGTGTGACTTTGACTGATAACCCCTGAGCTATTGAAATTGGTATGTCGATACACCCCCCCCCAAAAAAATAAATAAATAAAAATTCTCATGTTCTCCCTTGCGCATCCGTTACAGACTTGATTTTCCTGTGCATTGAGTTCACCAGAGCATTTATCTTTCTCATAGGATTATTATTCAATCCTTCCGACGGTAGTCTTAATGGCTGAGAGTAGTGTATTATTCCAAAGTCAACAACCCCCTCCCCTCCCAATGAATCCCTCAAATTTGTCAAACACTAGCTACATTTTCCAAGTGTGAACATGCTAAAAACATAACGCATATGACGCGAACATGCGCATGTGAGAGTAAAATCGACGTAAAGTTGCCAAGCTCGCGGACCAAATTAGAGCAGAGAGTTTCTGTCAATTTTAGGGTGAAAAATGAGTATGATTGTGTGTTGTAAATATCGGTTTCAGTGATAATGTTTTGACAATAACCGAGGTGGCTTGATGAAAAGCCTTATCTTGTCTTGATGTGACGTTGTTACGCGCCAACGTCACTGTCATGGTTGGTTGGAAACCTTTTAAGTTACTCTCTGACGACCGAAAAAAACTTTTTATTGGTTGAAAAGTGGAAAACAATCTGCACAACAACATATTGTTGCTTTTTTATTCACTTCTAGTGCAATTCAATTACTAGACCCGATGTTACTTCCGTCTATAACTCTAATAAAACGTATTTCACAACAAAATGTCATCACAAAATTTTCATTACCAACATGCACCTGTTTTTTGTCTTTTTATCACTTTCTCTCCGCGACGCCATACATTTGATGGTTGAGTAGTTTTGACCAGCGATTTTAGTGCAAAGTAACCAAAATACACATGTGACCAATTTTCATAATTTTCGGACACATAGTCAATATTATGTCCTTTATGCGTTTCTTTTTTCCTCTCAGTATACATATATCAGTAGTCAACTAAATGTGTAAATTGTCATGTTGTAAATTTTGAATTTACCGGGTGGCAGTCAATACAAAATTTACAAGTTGTCATGTTGTAAATTTTGTATTTACAGCCACCCGGTAAATTCAAAATTTACAACATGACAAAATAGTGGCTTAGCATTAAATATGAAAAAGTCCGTTATTTGATATCTAATATTGCTTTAATCTGGCTATACATTTTGTTTATGAATAAAATAAGATCGATTTTGAAATATTTCATTATTATTATTTTCAGATTACCTTCACAAACATAATAAAACTGGGTATTATTAGATAGGAGGGAGGAAATCCGACAGTGGGTCTTGGACTTGGATAGATGGGACCCCCATAGGTCCCCCACTGCACTGGGGTCCAGGTAAGACATTTTTTTCCCATAGATTTTGCATTTCCTAACAATTTACATGTAATATTGCACCTGTTTCATCCAGACGTTAAATGCTGTAGAAATTATTAAGAAAAGTGCATTAATACCCATAGACCTTTTAAAATGCTCGGTTGAATTTTGCCGTGTTATCTTTCTCAGAATTTTAGAAAGATTGTCCCCTTTATGCTCCATGTCAATATCTAATCTGTTATTGTGGCCCAAACGTCCCCTGAATTGGAAAAAAAAATCCATTAGCGTTGCACATTACTAGTAATTTAATTTTGTAATATTATTTGGTCTACCTGTTGATAATTATTATTTTTTTGTACAAACATCGACTATTTTAATTGAATCTTAATTCAGTTTAAAAAAAAATAATCATATTTCAAACCTTATAATTGACGAATTTTCTTGGATTTTATTTATGCCTTCTTTAAATACTGCATTAATTTAAAAAGAAACTTAAGGTATTTATTACATGTACTAAAATGCTGTATAGAGTCAAATCATCTTTATAAATTCAAATGCTTTTTAATGTCTTTTTTTATGCAGGTGAGCCGAACAACGGCCACGGCGTAAACAGCGAAGATTGCCTAGAACTTCGGCAATATGGAGGAAATACATGTATTATTATTTTCAGATTACCTTCACAAACATAATAAAACTGGGTATTATTAGATAGGAGGGAGGAAATCCGACAGTGGGTCTTGGACTTGGATAGATGGGACCCCCATAGGTCCCCCACTGCACTGGGGTCCAGGTAAGACATTTTTTTCCCATAGATTTTGCATTTCCTAACAATTTACATGTAATATTGCACCTGTTTCATCCAGACGTTAAATGCTGTAGAAATTATTAAGAAAAGTGCATTAATACCCATAGACCTTTTAAAATGCTCGGTTGAATTTTGCCGTGTTATCTTTCTCAGAATTTTAGAAAGATTGTCCCCTTTATGCTCCATGTCAATATCTAATCTGTTATTGTGGCCCAAACGTCCCCTGAATTGGAAAAAAAAATCCATTAGCGTTGCACATTACTAGTAATTTAATTTTGTAATATTATTTGGTCTACCTGTTGATAATTATTATTTTTTTGTACAAACATCGACTATTTTGATTGAATCTTAATTCAGTTTAAAAAAAATAATCATATTTCAAACCTTATAATTGACGAATTTTCTTGGATTTTATTTATGCCTTCTTTAAATACTGCATTAATTTAAAAAGAAACTTAAGGTATTTATTACATGTACTAAAATGCTGTATAGAGTCAAATCATCTTTATAAATTCAAATGCTTTTTAATGTCTTTTTTTATGCAGGTGAGCCGAACAACGGCCACGGCGTAAACAGCGAAGATTGCCTAGAACTTCGGCAATATGGAGGAAATACATGTATTTCAGTGGAATGACGCCCCATGTTATGCTCTTAATGGTTATGTTTGTCAATGTATAATCTAAAAAGAAATTCGTATATTGCGAAAGTAATCTTATACAAGTATATCCCCGCAGGTTTTTCTTTTGGTGAAAATTTTCGATGTTTTCCTCAAATACATCCTGTGTTTATTTTATTATACTGAGTGCTTTGTACATATAGAATATTACACTGCTGTTTTGATCTCGGCACTTGTTTTAGCCGTAGCGGCTGGTATCGGTGTAAGCCGAAAGTATGAAGTATGAAACATGTCTTTATTCAATTTTAGCCACTAACATGTAAATTGAGTGAAAATATGTCTCAAGAGAAAAATTAAAATAAAGAATGATGTACTAGTAATTAGACTAAATATAATTTGTATCTTAAGTTGTTAAGTATTTTAAAATGATGTATTCCTAAAATTGTATTTTTTACAAATTAGTTAATTAAAACAGTCGTATTTTACTATAAATAGATAATGCCTGTCTCTCCTCGCCTTGTTTGAATAATGGAAAGTGCACACCAAAGGGACGTATTTATGAATGTGACTGTGACCTGACTTTCAGCAATAAAGACAGCTGCAATATAGGTAAGTTAGTAGTATATAAGGAATAAAACATTTCTTGGGTTTCTAAGAATTTTAACTTCAAATAGGAGCAGCTCAGTGAAAAAATATCAATATACAATTGAACATGGTACTAATTTATTCATTCAGCAACTTTAATGCATTTGTCACCATAATTGTCCCCCGCTTCCGCAAAAGCGAGGGGACATTAAATCTCATTCGTCTGTCCGTCTGTCTGTCAGTCTGTCCGTCACAAAAACTTTAACCTTGCCCATAACTTTTGATTTAGTAGAGTTATGACTTTCATATTTCACATGTGTATTCCTTGTGACAAAACCTTTCTTTGGGTACCACCAAATTTTAACCTTTTGACCTTGACCTTGGAGTTTGACCCACTTTTACACAGAAATTTCAAACTTTTACTTTGGCCATAACTTTTGAATGGAAGGTGCTAGGACTTTCATATTTCACAAATGTATTGTTTGTGGAAAGACCTTTCATTGGATACCAACATCCTTGACCTTTTGACCTTGACCTTGGAGATTTCCGTATCTATAAAAAAAACTTTAACCTTGGCTATAACTTTTGAACAATAAATACTACAGCTTTCATACTTCACATTTATAATCCTGATGAAAAGATCTTTCATTGGATACCAAGAACTTTTACCCTTTGACCTTGACCTTGGAGTTTCAACTACTTTTTAAAAACTTTAACCTTGGTCACAACTTTTAAACAGTAGATACTAAGACTTTTATATTTTACATATGTATTTCTTGTAGCAAGACATTTCGTTGGATACCAACAACCTTGACTTTTTGACCTTGACCTTGGAGATTTACTTACTTATGGAAAAACTTTAACCTTGACCATAACTTTTTGAACGGTGAGGGCTAGGGCTTTCGTACTTCACATATGTAATCTTTTTGAGAAGACCTTTCATTGGATACCAACAACTTTTACCCTTTGACCTTGACATTGGAGTTTTAACTACTTTTAAAAAAAACTTTAACTTTGGTCACAACTTTTGAACGGTAGATACTAGGACTTTTATATTTCACATATGTATTCTTTGTGACAAGTCCTTTCATTGGATATCAACAACTTTGACCTTTTGACCTTGACCATAAAGATTTACGTACTTATGTAAAAACTTTAACCTTGACCACAACTTTTGAACGGTAAGGGCTAGGGCTTTCATGCTTCACATATGTAATCCTTGTGAGAAAACATTTCATCAACAACTTTGACCCTTTGATCTTGACCTTGGAGTTGACCTACTTTTAAAAAACATTAACTTTGGTCATAACTTTTTAACGGTCAGGATAAGGGTTTTCATCCTTCAAAAAATCAACTTCAATGATAATTTCTATGAAATGACATATGATAGGATGTTCATATTAGACACAATATGACATAAAAAATAACATCTCACCAACAAAGACACCGAAAGCGGGGGACCACAATTCTTTGAATTTGCTTGTTTACTTTTAGATTGCAGCCCTGGTCCTGCTGATATTGTCTTTGTTGTGGATACGTCCTCTAGCTTAGAAAAAAAAAACCAAAAAACCAAATGCTTGGAGTATATGGGTAAAATTTTAGATAGACTGCCTCTAGGCAACGACAGGTTTCAAGCGGCGGTTATTTCATACGATTTTGAACCAATGGAAATTGTAACCATCGGTCAATATCAAAATGCAGAGGAAATTAAAAATGTTGCCTCAGGAATCAACTCAAGGACACAAGGTGCCACATACACAGAAAATGCTCTGTTAAAAAGTCTCGAAGTGAGTTTTTATACTTTTGAATGGTTATTTGATCAAACTAAAAAGGAATTCTTTTCAAAAATACAGTCTAAAAAACATATAATTATATATTATCTTCCTTTGATTTACAGGTACTCACTGATGAAAATGCAAAACAGAAAGTTCACAAAATCATCGTCATCATATCAGACGGGCTCTCAACCGATAGAGATGCAGCCATTAAAGCAGCAGAACGATTCCGGATGTGGCCATACCACGTGATAATCACAATAGGAATAGGTTAAGCGATTGACCATTTCGAGCTTGTCCAATTAGCTTCAAAGGATCAGAAGAATATCTATGGACCATTAGTATTCTATTCATCTAATGATGATGCAATCAATATGCTTTTGAAAAAGGCTATGTATAATGATTATACAAGTAAGAATTGATTAGCTTTCAAAGTTTTGATACTTTTTTTTATAATTAGGTTACCAAAATAAATGCATAAATAATAAAACGAATAAATTAAACCATACAAACTTTTAATCCCAAAGCACCGCTGTAACATTGTTTAAAAGAAGATAAATGTTTATATTGGAAATGATAAAAATATGATAACATCTAGTTGGTCTAAAATGTTAAAGAAGGCATACGAAGACAACATAAAAAACATAACAGTTTTCTTTAATATCAGATTGCAGAGTCTCTAACAATACTGACGTTATGATAATACAGGACAATAATTTGTCCGGAGTTGTCTTCAAGAACTCTCTTAGTGTTGCATCGGAAATAGCTCCCAGATATTTTCTGACAAAAAAAGATGTCCGAATTGGTCGAATATATCTTTCGATGTAGACGACTTTGCTTATTACAATCACGACGACCAATTTCTTGTAAATTTGCAGAAATTTAGTCCTGGGACGAAATCGGAATCTGATATAGAGAGTTTACTATCGAAAGCAGCTGTTCGGCTTCTTTCATCTGGTCTCCAAAGGAACAAGGTTATTGTTATCATCACAGATGGTCATTGGTCAAATGTAAGTAGGGTTGAGGAGAAAATGAAAAATCTCAGGCAGCAAAATATTACAACGATGATTGTGGCAGTAACAAGGGATTCCAATTTTACTACCTTATAAAGAGTGGTACAAGACCCTTTCTCTGTTTTTTATATCGATGACGAAACCAGGTGGAATACAATTGACGTCATTATATCACAAAGCTTCAGAGTTATTTGTGAATGATAAATGTATATACTTTTTATCTAAATTCAACAATTTCAAGCTCAACGATAGATTATTTCTTTAAAATTTCTGTCACATTACGGAGCTCGAGAAAGTCAAGATTTGATAAAGATTTCAAATGTTATCATTTTAAGAAAAACAAATATTAAAAAAATATTTAGTGTAAAAATGTGTCATTTTTAAGTTTAAATTTGTGCTTAAAATTCCATCAAACGTATAACTCATGCATGAAAACATGAAATATATATGGAGATAGCAACAATTAAGCTCAGAAGTCCATTGAGGCAATACAAATCAGGATCAAATCAACCTAACACAATTTTTTGCATATTTAGATATTGATATAAATCAAAACGCAACGATACTTGAAGGGTGTGACCTCTGTCTTAAACCATTGGTACATAATTTGCTGACAAAAATAATATTTGAATTGCTCGATTAACCATAGAAAAGATCATTACAAGAAATTGCATGTAAAATTTAGGGGAAATGACGAAAAGAGAATTTAAAGTGAAGATGTACACACATGTAATTATTATAAAATATTCTACCAATGTCATATAACCTAGTTTTCAACAAACATGTAAATGTTGTAACATTGCAAGAGAAGTATAATAAAATTATAAATGTGTGCTGTGGTTACTTGTTTTTGTGTTAAATTTTTCTTTTGCACATTTGACAATTATCAGAGTATGGTGTGCAGCACGTGGAAAATCAAATGCCACAAGCAGGATAATAATAGTACATAAAATAAGAATGCCCACACTCCCAATACCGCGGGCTGAAGGCCGATGGTCTGGTACACTGATAAGTGTTCTTTTGTATTTACTGGTTTCCTTTGCTTCAATAGTCAGTTCTGCTTTCATTTGTTCTAATTTCTTTTGGAGCTCCTCGGGTGTGTACGTTATATTGTGTACCGTCCTACATGGACAATTACAATTGGAAGATGAGGCTGAAAAAGAACATAAATGGGTCACAATAATTTCAGTTTCTGTTCATGTTGATCCATAAAAGTATGGTTATATTGAAATGCAATTAGCAAAATGAATTAAAAGTAATACGATTCATTTTTACGTACCAAGAATATCTGGGGAAGAAAATATTGATTCCACCGAAGTTTGCAAAGCTGGAGTGCTTGTTATGGACGAATCTGATGACATTTGTGAAGTTATACTTGGTTCCAGTGGTGGTGTTGATGAATCAACTCCTAAGATTGTTGAAAAAATAGATTCTGATGAAGGATAAAGAGTTTCAGATGATGACACTGGGACACCTGATAGTGATGATATAGACATCTCTGTTGAAGTATGGGAAATAATTGATCCTGTTGTGTCAACACTTGGGACTGACGAGAACACAGATTCTGATGACAAGTAGGAAATTGCACTGGACGCTATTGTGATATCGGTGGGGAATGATATACTACATATCTCCACCGGTGGAACAGTAGATTTTAAAGTTGAGTACTGACTCCAGTTTATTAAAGCTAAATAAAAATTGAATTATTTTAGGGACATTACTACTGTGTTAGCATCAGTTTAAAGTCATTCTACATCTTAATTAAGTAGGATAATGCAAAGAAAAGTGCATTTTATATATCTAAAATAATACAAACTATCACATTCCATCCTTTTTCAACAAAGAAAAATAGAAGAGATCCAATATAGCCATTTCTTACTATGAGCATATAACGTTCCACGACCTGGTAGGGCGTATGCATTTGCTAGAGTAGTGAATATTGAGCATGTAGCAGAGTTCCCCATTACGCCTGCGCAATGGGAAACTGAATGGCACATGCTGGCACAAGAGGACTCATCTATTTGGTGAATGTCTTTTACTTGAAAGAATTGTTTAACATTTGCGTCAGTCATTGGATAAAAACATTGAGCTGGATCTGTCAATAAGAAAAAGAAAATACATGAGCTGTTTCCTACTCCTATACTTATCTATTTGTGGAAATGCAAGTGTGCTATGTTATAACGCGAAATGTAATAACGCAAAATGCAATAAACTGGGATTTTTGCATTTTGTGTTGTTACATTTTGCGTCGAAATCAACGCAGAATGTAATAACGCAGAATGTATTATTATACCTCATTTTAAATATTCTACACAACGCTTTATCTGACTGGTTCTAGGTTATCACGTGATCGGGCCGTAAAATTCATATTTCACGGCCGTCGGCACGCTTTTCATCATATTCCACCTCTTTGGATCACCTAGTATATTTTCCCGCAATATAGTTTTTGTTCGTTGAACGAAAACTCCCGAGAGTAGTAGACGACACAATAGCCTAATTTACGTCACAAAATTGGTGATAATGTGCTGACCAAAGGGTTTTAGTAACTTTACGTAAAAAATAAAAGTGAATTTGAGAGCAATGCCGAATTTGAAAGTTTATGTTTATTTCAAAGGTTTTGCACGTTTCGGTATAATAAACAATTAATTGCATGAATGTTCGGGAAACATGAAGACTTAATCAGCCAAGAAAAATCATATTCCCCGAGGGTTTTGGATTTGGGATTTTTGCATTTTGTGTTGTTACATTTTGCGTCGAAATCAACGCAGAATGTAATAACGCAAAATCTAATAGCAGACTTTTAAGGATTATTACATTTTGCGTTTTTACATTTTGCGTCGAGATCAACTCAAGATGTAATAACGCAAAATGTAATAACCGCGGTTTATTACATTTTACGTTGCTATTACATTTCGCATTGTAACAGTGCTATTCTGTCTCACATTATCACATTTTTTAGAAATCTTTATGTTAAAAGCGTCATAACTTATCACAAAAACATTTTGCAAAGTAAACTATATTTTAAAGTGACTTACCAGCAGTTGTTTCTTCGCAGACATACCCAAATGAACTAGAACAACCTCTTACTGAGTAGGAATTTAATGAAGGATTTAACATAACACATCCCTCTTTCTGGGCTTCTGCAAGATTCGGCCAAGGATTAAATCCTACACTTGACGTCATTTGTGTACAATCTGGCCATAAATGATACATGTTTCCATCCTTGGAGGTGGCACTTAGTCCGATCCATATGGATTCTCTACAGAAAAAAGAACCATTGAATAAGAGAAATTCCCATATTGGTACATGTATATGTACCTCATTTAACAAGGCCCCAGAAACTTCATAAATCAATATTAACTGGAAGACATATGCAAATTATCAAAAATGCATTATGGTTATTTTGCATATTTAAAATTTCTTTTTCCGAGATAAAACTACTGCTAAAAAAACTTCGTTTCTTCATAAAGTTTTTAGTTCATCGATAGGTGTTGGTAAAAACAATTGCTTAGCGAAAAAGAGAGAGAGAGAAATGAGAAATGGGCGCCGCGCGCGGGCTAGGATCAAACACATGAGTTAACGAAATCTTAAAAGTATATATTTACATCCACTGAATATTTTCTTCTTTATTTCTTAAGAAAACCCATTGCGTTCATCACTGCATGAACTACATTAGGCATATCACCTATACAGATTTCTTGATCAGTGGCCGTTCCATCAATGAAATGTACAAATAGGTTCGCATCATTAACTAGGGCTGGGACGATACAACTTTTTCTATATCGATACATATCACGATATTTGAGCCACGATACGATATGTATCACGATATGTTTAATTCCTTATAAAATTTTTTTTGCATTGAAATAAACAAATTATTTCTTTGCAAATAAGAATAATTTATTCAAAATAATTGTTAATATGTTGTAAAACAAGAATATTTTACTCAAATGGTGTTAATTATTATTTATTTCATATCTACATTTATATTTAACCTATTTATTTTATATATTAAACCCCATATGTTAAATAAACAAATAAAAATAGAAGTCAGATTTTCATGGGCGATATTCCGATATTTCTTCATATGTATCGATATGCGTATCGTCCTTACATGTATCACGATATATCGATATCTCGATATATCGTCCCAGCCCTATCATTAACACAATAATTAATATTTTTAATCCTACGTAAAATGATAATTTAAACAGATATAAATATAAACAATAAAATGTCTTTCTTTGTTTGTTATTACTGGAATGAACGGTCGCAGCTATTGCAGAAAAAATTTACATAACCCGCTTACGCGGGTTAT